CTAGTCAACCATCATAGTTAGCTAAATTCTTGAGAACTGCTCTGGATTAGGTAATAGCCTATATGAAATATACTTTAACTACAGATTCATCTACCTTTGCTTTTAGATAGTAGACACATATTTAATAATGACCCAGTTATATACCTTTAAAAAGATCAGCTAATGCAAAAATGACATTGAAAACTTATATTAATCGAAGTTATTTATTGATAAAAGTGTTTGACATTTGACAGTATTTATTACAGCTTCAGTATAGTAAATACCTTTTAAAACTTATTCAGCAGCACGATTAAAAATACGATAGTTACATTTAAACCGTAGTATATTTTCTATCGCTCGCATCAAGTAAGATTCTTAACAAAATTGAAACTATCATTGGCTTGCTAGCCAATGATATCGTACTTCCTAAAATTCCGGCCAAGAATAATTTACTTCAGATACATGAATCTAATAATTATTTAAGTTTAGAGAAAAATCGATCACAGAGCTGTCACCACCCCAGCTTCGCAACAAAAAAAACTTCGGACAATTAAAATATAAAGAAAGAGTCACAGCTAAAAGAAGCTTTAGATTTATTTAACAAATTTTTTATTTTATCAAAGACCTCACTCACTTTCGAAAAAATAGCTACGAAGAAAGTTATTTTCTTTATTGCTATCATTAATTTAAAGCTCATAAATTCACCGGTAAACATGCCTACAAATATATTTTCCTACGTTTTTCTACTATTTCCATCTTATTTGTCTACCATATTGTATCTAGGCATAGCTTTAAGTGCATTACATCTGGATTATCAAATATATTGATAATAATTTTTTACTGTATTTAAAAAAATATGCTTTATAACTGACTAGATAAGGATTTTCGAAGTGTGTAAGTATGCTGTGCTAGAAAAGTACTTCTACTTTAGTCCATATAGATTAATAAATTGTAAGACTTGCGCTTTACGATACTAATAGTGTTGTATAAAAGACTTACTCAATTCCCAAAGTCGAAGATTTTTCTTATAGTTTAGTATGTATAAACTAAATACCTAAAATCCTATCAAAGTACTATAAATGGTCATTACAGTGTACTTATAATTTTTTAAACTGATCATGATATTACAACAGTAATTGTAATATTTAGTCTATTGATTAAGCCGTCTACAACTACATTCAATCTTCTAAAATATCGACCCAATCGAATTTTACTTGTACAACATAATTGAGCTTTACTTGGCCAGGATTGTATACTACATATCTATTAATAATATCATCAAGGAAAATGACAATTTGTAATGCATAATAATTGTCTTTTATCTATTACGTAAATTAATTAAAGTGTGTCAGGATACTGATTTGTTTCCCCAAAGTATTCAGCTTTGTTAATATCTCCTATCGGTACAATTACGTCATTTTCAAGCGTTATATTTCCAGACGGATCTGGTCCTATCGGACTTGTAGCTGCAATACACAAATAATTTAACTTATTAATTTCAGCCCATAGCGCAATTTAGGAAATTTATTCAGGTTAATCTTTGCTTAATGTATATAACTTACATTTGACGCTATCAGCAGTTGAGCGTGGTTTACTAACGTCAGACGGATTTTCTGAGCTAATAGTAACAAAGAACAAGAGTAATGGCGGTAACAGCAGTTTAATTTATTAAATTATTTTTAAATTTGATATTGTTAGTAGAGCAAATAGGTATAATTATGATGTGATCAGCTATGAGTGCTATTGATAGACATACGTTCTACCGAGTGCGACTTCACATAGTAATAGTAATCCGGTAGAATTCGTAAAAGTAGCTTCACAATCTAGAGCGGCCTATCAATATTAATGTTGAGTATCATTACATTATTAAATCTACAGTATATATTTAAATTTATCATAAAGAAATGAAGGAATATAAATATTTCTAGTTGATATAAATTACGGTTTCCTTACTTTCCACATCATATCTGTATATTAAGAAAATAAAATTATCTTTGGATTAAAATGCAATTTTCTAAAAAATTTTCTAAAAATCAATGTTATAGAAATAGAATATATCAATCTACTTACCTGAAAAATAAACTCCTTTTCCATAATCACAACTTTTCCTCTACATAGAAATATTTATATTCAATTAGCATGCTATATTTAAAGTAGCCAGCTGTAACAATTTTTGACTGTTGTAGAAAATTTTTGAAGACATCGATAGTAACTTCAACTACTAATAATCAACTTGATATCAATACCGCAACTATCTGTTATCTTTTTAAAGCTATTTAATTCGTTGCATTTATTACGAAAGAATAGAAATTGTCTATTTACTATGTCAGCGTTAGTTATTAATTTAGAATCTAGGGATTCGGTTAGAAAATTTCAATAAATGATTTTCTGACTACTACTGATCTTGCAGTTTGTAAATTGAAATATGTATTGACTACATTATGGATTGTTTCGTATAAAGATTTTGTGAATTTGTTTTATCACAAGTTCGAATCATAAATAAGCCACTTTGGTATAATAGTTAATTCTTAAATCAAATCTATAGCTCTGTTGTAGTAAGGTGCAGCACTGTTCTATATGCTGTAATTAATATTTAATATCACATACAGTTGAATTTAAATCCTAAGCCTTATACTCACGCCTAGGTAGCCGAATGTTGCCATAGGTTGTATTCCTTGCTTGAATATTCGACCATAATTAATTAAGCGATTTCCATTCCATAAAAGCATTCGATTACCCAACCCGCAAAATTTTTCGTATGTTTTGTGACTTTTATGATTCTTGATCTTATATATCTGCGTATTGAATTGTACATACTGCAATTATTCACTCGTATAGTTTAAGGTTCTTAATTATCTATATCTACAACTCAAGTTCATAAATCACATTATTATCTATAAACCTCTTCTATCTTTAATTTATAATACTCTTCTCTAGGTGATTCACAAGTTTTGCTACCATATTCACAAATCATATTGAATTCTTCACTTTCTTTTTCTACAAGCTAAAGAGTTTCCATTACATGATGTAGCATTTTAATTTTAATACGATATTATTATTAACGTAAAGCATTAAATTTTCTATGCTTAAATTTATACGCCATACTTCAAGTTCTGTCTTTAAGCTCTGGTATAATTTGTATATAGGGTCTTTTTTAACATTTTCAATACTTTTGATCAGATTATAAGCCACTGGGATGTCGGAAATATGCTCAAAAGTATACTTAATGTTCTACGGAAATAATGTATAAGATTCAGAAGACATGCTACTAAACTCGTTATTTAATGTGCTTGTAAAATAAAATTTTATTCTGTTAGATAATAAAGTATAATAGATTTAATTTTCAAAATTAGCTTAATAATTTACATTTACGCGAAATACATCATCAAACCAGCGATGACCGTCAATTGATAATTCCTTCGGAAGAATACTACTAAACTTCTGCTTCAATTTCGTGACCTTGTCTAGTCTTTCTCGATCTTTCAAACCTCTCTTATTTGAAAGCTAAGTAACAAAATAAATTGCTTAATTATTGTATTTATTATATCTATGTTGCTTAGCAAATTATTCTGTAGCACGGTCTATTTGACTTTGCAGCTAATAACAATTTCATTTCGTAATCAAATATTGAGATTAGATAATTTAAACAAAAAATTTTTTATAACAAACTAACCGCATCGAGCTGATGAAGAATTTGCATTGCCTTTGTAATCCTATCAGCCGTGAGATTTTTTAACGGTAATTTCGCTACATCAATCTATGAATATAGTGTAATGTAACTTAGCATTGTAATTGTAGACTGTTAGCCATATTTAGTATAATGTACGGTAAATATTTATCCTAAGAGATATTTGGTAGCTATAACTATAGACTGTAGTGGTAGAGACTCTATGCTAGAGTTCAGATGACTATATGCAGTAAGGTGTTGAGTTACTAATAAGGCTATAGGTAAAAATAGAACAGTAAATCTTATATTAGAATAAGGTTAATTCATTGTACTTTGGCTGGAGTGAATAATGTCTACATAAGTACTGTAGCCGTATCCATATTGGATTAATGATGGTCCGCAGTAGAATAGTGTTACTAAGACTAATTTAACTATGTATAATATAAGGTAAAAGGTTGCCACGCGGACTGTAGCTGCGAATGCTACGAAAAATATAAAAGCATGCAACTTTAGATTATTCTGTTAGTTCCTTATAGAAGTCTTTAGTAGTAGTATTCGGCTAGAGTAGAGCTGTGTGTAGTTAATCTTTGTATAAGATTCAATAAAGCCCTTATTTTTCTAAAATTTGGAATTTCGTGATTGGTATATATCACATATAGCTATTAGATTATCTAATATAGTCTATGTTACTTTAATAAGAGCCGTTAATTTGCATCTTAGGTAATAGCTGATACCTGATATTCCATGGCTATTGCTGCAATGGACTTAACGTTAAAAATTAATTTCAGTAACTTCTGAATCTCATATGATAGTTTACTAGTTTGCGCCTCGGATATTATACTATCTAATTTAATCGCTTCTTTATCCTAATTATCAGCGACCAATAATTTTTCAAGGGGAAAAATTAGTATAATAAAAAATCTATAAGTAAAAAGCGCTATTTACGGCTGCACGATTGCCTAAAATAATAAATGAATTATAGACCTCATCTGGAATGTACGCAGTACCAATAGGATAATAAAGCTTTTGCGCCTTGCGCTTACTTTGTATCCCATTTATAAATGAATAACCTATGAAAAGAATAACTTAGTATTGAATAAACCTAAACTGTTTAAGAGACAGTGATAATATGCTATTCGTACAAACCTGTTTTCTGAAAGTACTTAGCATCTAAAGCCATCTTGGCTTCTATTTCGGTAAGGCCATCCTAAAAAATGATTAGCGAGGAAACATAAACATACTAATACATAAAGCTCTATGTAATTTATTCCGCAAATGAGCACAATGATTACAATCGTATTATATTTGGTCACTGTTAAGTAAAAGAAAATTGTTTTCTAACTTCAATTTCAATTCTTATTTCTCCAATGCCAGCCACATAATCTTTAATCCGAACAAAGCAACAGCTATATAATATGTAACAAATTCCGTTTTATCAAATTAAAGCAATTTATCTACAAATACAAAGTGTAGCAATAATCAGCTAATATAATTTGTATATGATCATACAAAAAATAAACTAACTGATTCAATTGATTATGCTTTAGTGCCTGTAATTTAAGAAATTCGCAAGGCGTCTTTTCAAGCACTACGCTGTAAACAATACCATTTGAATCTTCAATAACATGATAGTCATCTTGCAAGCCTATCAAATATTAAATATAAACTTTTAAATTCTAGATAAAATTTGATTTGCTAATTATTTTTTCTCACTAAGCAATTTATTAAATGCCACAATTATTTTATACAGAGCCATTTCTACCAGAAGCTCTAACAGATGTACTTAGGCCAAGTGATTAGTTATGCATTTATAATATAAATACCAGAGTAAGGATCTACAACCGCTTTGCTGTTTTTGCGTAAATCAATAATACTTGTTGAATAGTATCCTACAAATATTATTAGTAATTATAAGAAATTAAAATTAATTTCATGATTAGTATCAGTTGACAACAATACCAGAAGTGAATCAATAGCTAATAATTCAACTTACCTTGTCTCCTGTTTTTAATACTTGCAATCTAAAATAAATACAGTATCGAATTCGATTATTAGACATACTCATATATTATAAGTATATCTGGTTACAGGCAAATTAAGCGAAAATTAAACGTAATCTATGATTTTATTCATTCTAATACAACTAACCTTATCGATTGTGCAATTGCTAATAGCATATTTTATCATAGCCTCATCGAAATTGATGTCATTAATAAATTCAAGGAACTTATCCGAAACAACAGGCAAAGCCAGACTATCAATTTTCTGTTTTTCAGCTTTACTAAGTGATTCTGAATGCAAAATATAATTACAGCTTAGATAGATTCCAATTGCAAACACCTGATGCTACTAATGTAAAGGTAATAAATTAAGTGATATTTCTGATAACCTGAGTTACTGATGCATAAATCGATATATTTGGAGATCTGATCGCGAAATATGCCACCTAAGTTACTTATTTTCTTCTTAATGTTACCCTTAGCATCAAGTAAGACCATAACATTTGGCTTTGCAGGAGACTCAAATACGTACTCATAAATGAAGAAAATTGAATCTAGCTTTCAAATTGACTTACATTATTGTTTTTAAGCTTGCCGATAGCTGTAATACGTATACTGCCTAATGGTCTTATCTTTAAAATATCAGATCTGAAATAAGATAATCAAATCATTACAGTACATTTAATAAGGCAGCAGTTACCGTCATTAAAATTAGATTTTAATTAATTATAACTGAAAACTTGATAAAAATAGTAAAAATACGTGGAATTAAATTTAATGGTGTCTATATAGATAGTAGTTGTTGAAATCTCATATAAACATTGTATATATATATATTTTTATATATTCTTTAATACTTGGTTATTGTCATACCTGCACACCGTAGGCCATCTCAATTCATCAGGAAGAGGACTATATGTGTCAGCCCAGCAGTAAACTCGATCACGAGGAATGTAACTATAACTTGCTCTGCATGTAACAAATTAGTATCAGAAACATGCACTGATAGGAAAGTACAAAAGTTAAAGATATCTTCATATCATCAATTGATTTACTAGTACTTAAATACAGAAGAAGGGTATAGATGAATATCTAAAAGGCATTGAAAATGGAGGAATAAGTTTATTTGTAAAGCATAGTTAATGTCATGCGATTCACGACGTCTACTCACAGAAATGGAGATATTGCCTTAAATTCTTCAGGAATTGTCCAGGCAGTTCTTTCAGCTTTATCTGTTACATATTCGCATACCTTACCTCCCATAAAACTATAGCACTTGTAGCAACGGGATTTTTTGCTAATATTAAATTTTTAATTTTAGTTTAACAATCTATTCATAATGAAGCAATCTTTAACTCAAACCTATGTCAAAATATATTACTAGTACATACTATTTAAAAATTTAGCTTAAAATCTCTTAGATAAATCAAGCTGCTTTTTGTAGGGTATTGGCATCAATGCTTTCTTATGAAGTTCTGCTTCTGTAGTAAACTTCTCGATACGCTGGTTCAAAGCATTTTAATTACCTGAAACGGATTTCTGACTGATGGCAGATTGGACAGGGCTTAAATGCTCCGAATAAGATACCATCAGCACAACTTTCCAAGTTCTATTTCAACATCAATATTTATTGATCAGGTCATAAAATGCAATCCAATTTAAGTGAATAATATAGCGGCATATCGTTAACTTTTAATTCATGCTCATTTCAAACTCACTCCATTTCCAGATAGCTCTGGACGATTATTTCGAGATTGCATCACTCTAAGCATTTCCTCAGTGCATTCACTCCCTATTTTATTTCTTGTTTCCCATAACAACATCATTTGCTCCTAGCTCAGTTTGCAATTTTTTAAAAGATTTACAATATGAAAGAAGTCGTATATTGGTGTAAATAAAGTTAATAAGGTGATTTTAATTTAGCTCATTTAATTTTAGTAGTTGATTGAGATTCGTTCTCACCTCATATTCCTCATATTTGCTATCCGCACTTTGTGAGCTTTTCACTGTTTTAGCCTTATCAGGGTTTTTCTGTAAAGCTTGTTTTCTTTTCATGTTTTGTATTCCCTAGAAGTCAGTAAAACTTAATATTTGAACCAGATATTCTGTACAACTTACATCATAGATAGCATTTTTCTTTTAAAGAAGTAAAATAGCAGTAACATAAATTTAATATTTTTAAAGTGTTGAAAACTGAATCTAGCATACATCTATCCGTAAGCATTTGACGATTTTTGAGACTCGATGTTTGAAACTAATTAAGTACTAGGACGTGGTAAAACCTTATCTTTTCTTAATGAATTATCACTATTATTTATTTTAGCTATTAATTCATTTCACAAACCAGCTTCGTGAGAAAGGTAACGTAAAATAACTCTCTAAATTACAATATTTTCGGGATTGAGTATCCCTTAACCACCTCAAAAGAATTTAGACGCCTTTGCTTCTACGCTAACTAACTATAGCATTATCCTGTTATTCAGTTATCTGCTGGGCTTAAACACCCTTCGGCAGCAGTTATTACGCATGAGTGATAGCAGTTTAGTTCATATTGGATAACTAAATTAATACAGAAATTATTCATAATCTTAGACATGTACTGAGCGATTCTAGGTAGTTGGACTACAGTATGTCCATACACAGAATTATATATATATATATAGTATCATCTGTAATTGAATATCTTCAAACGAGGTGTCAAATCCAGTAGCTATTAATGTTATAAAAATCACAAAGATATTACGCCGAAGGTACTTTTCAAGCAATCACTTTCAGCAATAGGTATGACTAAGTAACCGATTATAACAAAGCGAACTATAGAAATCATCATTAATGGAATATTTTAGCTTTATATAAGATAGCAAAATTCTAAAACACAAGGTAAATTAGGTTGTAACTCTAATTTGACTATGGTTTAATCATGGAATGGATAGGGAATCAAACATTGCCGTATGGTAGCGAAATAATGTTCTATTAATTTCTTGTACCAAGTAATAGTAAGCAGACAACTGTAATTAGGACTATATGATTTAGCAATTTACTGTGTTAAACAATTGTTTATATCTGCCATGGCTAACTTGTTGTGTTAAGTACGGCTAATGATGAATGAATAGCAAAAGTAATTGATTTTATTGAGGTAATTGTATTTACTAACCGGAGATCCTAGCGAGAGCTAATCCAAAGTAGGTCTTTACAACAATTGCTGCCAAAATAACTGTAATAAGAGTTCTCGTAAGCCGATAGTTTGCAATTACTTAGCTTCACGTAGGAGTAGTCACACAGTATTGCGTGGAATTCGTATCTATAGCAGTACTCGTAGGATAGAATTTGTAAAAGCTGTACTTTACTAGGGCAGATCCGAGAAATCTTGAGCTACTGCTAATTTAAACTACTTCTTATTAGTAAGCCTCACTGGTGCAATCTGAAATTAGAAATGACAATCTGATACATTTTGTTATTTTTCTACCTAAATTTGAAATGTAATAGTTTGCAAAACACGTGCAACTTTTATATAAAATCAACGAAACAATAATGTCAACAACATTACAATCACTGGACGAGTACAGTCATGTTCTGCTTTGCTTTAATGTTGACTAGGCTAAACTACTTAGTAATAGAGAGATATTGTTTTAATAATTACAAGTATTATTCGGTTAGAGCAACATTAATTCGGAATTTAGACAATCGACAGGTTTTCTATTTAATTTGCTATTATCTAGACTCTCAATAGTAACTATGGAATGCCTTTAACATATGATATAAGAAAATAGTAGGCGTGGAATGCTTTTAGTTTGAGCAGTTCAATTATGATTAAATTTATATACAAAAGCTCTATACTATTCTGCTGGCTTGCAAACAAACATAAATTAATTCTAAAGCGGATAGAAATATTTTTCAATAGCTGACCGTACTTGCACTTATTCAAACTATAAGAGCAATGAATCCATTCGTACAAAGAGCTGATGTTATGGTACCTACGATGAGTAAGCTTTTAATTTGCGGGAAGTTCTTGCAATTTTTAACTTATAAGCATGACTTGTATACATTATGTTTTGCTATCAAACATACCTAAAAAGACCAAATCAGACCAAATCATTAGTATATTAAGTACAAAAATTATTTATTACAGGCAAAACTGAACACATTTAATATGTGTGACTTGATAGCAACTTGGTTTGCTATCAGTCATGTTTAATAAAATCTGTTGCCACAAACTGTAATTATTGTACTTTACTTAATGTAGAAATCTTGTATTGGAGGTAAAAGCCAGTAATAGTAAAAAATAATATTCAAATCAGTTTTCTTAATTTAAAGTACATTTATTATGAGTTAGTTTGACCTACGACAGTAATTCTTAAAGCTCTATCATAACAAATACCTTAATGAATTTAGCAGCATAAATTAAAACTCCATGCTTAAAAATTAACTGCACCAAGCATTCTACCATCAGCCAACTATCTTATATAATAGATTCCTACAATTCTCACTAATAGTTATTTTAGAGACATAAATCTAACAATTGCTGATATTTTTTTTAAAATAATAAATTACAAGGCTGTTACAACCTAACGCTGCGACAATAATAGCCTTCTAATACTTAATTTAAATACCAGGTCATAGCCACAGTTAAGACAAGCTATGCATACTTTAAGTAGTGTTTTACTCTATCAAGAGATATCACATATATCGTGTCACAAACTCAACTTGCGAACAACTATCCTAAACTAATAGATTACTTATTCCTAGCTTCTTTACACTTAGATACTGCGCGGTAGGCCTACCCTACTTGCGCTCACGCAGGGATAAGACTGTTCTAAAGGTTTAGTATAGTTTTATTAATAGATTAGCCGGTTACTAACAAATCAAGAACTGAAGACTTGAGCATTTGCTCCTCCTTTTATACCCTATCACCAAACTTGTGGTGCGTATATAGCAATTTAACAACGTAACATTTACATGATTAGTAGCAAAATAACATTCAACGATTGCTATGTCAATACTAAAGGTGAACAGAAGCTAATTAGATTAGTCGAATAAAATTATCAATCCTGTATCTAAAATGGACTAATTGTGAATTTCGAAGCAGTTAATTCATTTTAGAGTAAAGTGATCTTCATAGTTTTTCCTAAGTATTTATTGATCACTGTAGCGAATTGAAGTAAATAGTCCTACTAACTTTCTTGCTATTTGTAGCAGTCTAGCAGGATAAGCTATAGACGATCATATTACAATCACCCACAATCAATCATAACCTTGACGAAGAGGTTAGGCTATCAAAATGATAATTCTTGCCTTCAAAATGATCCACGCGTAAGCTCATAGCTTACTATCCTTTTAGATAGCTACTAGATGATAATGCAATCTGGTTATGAAATATAGATTATAGCATTGAAAGCCACTATCAGCAATAACAAATGATTTAGTTACTTTTATTGCATTTATCAGAGAATACATTTATTAATCGGCCTTATCGCTTATGCGAAGAGCTGATTACACTATGATGAAATTAACAGATACTTTGCCACTTTCTCACAATAATAAGCTTCATACTTGTCAAATGCGAAATTTTGCTTATTCGATTGTTATCCAAGAATTAATCTTCAACTAGAAATAAAGAAAAATTGGGGATAAAATAACTTTTAAAACTACCCTGTATAGCTCTGCTAATAATCTCTCAGCTTCAAAAGCAGTTTTTTCGCTACTTCATGTATCAAAAACAATCTAATTGCCTGCATAATAACAACTTCTAATTACTGTCTGTTGTTTCTGCACAGAATGGATTATGATTAATGTACAGTATACGTTGCATTGTGAGTTCACTATTGATATTATCCATATTAATTACCTAGCAGCAGCTGCTTAGATATTTATATTAATAATGGCAATAAGCTCATAGTCAATCACTTATATCGTATCATATCCTATCGTAGACTTACGATAATTAATCAAGTCAATGCCGCAGTGTAGAATAATCGCTTTACAACAGCTATAAAATTGACCAGCACCTCCTGGCTGTTTACTTTGAGGTGAGATCACACTTTAAGCTCCTGCGATTTTTCTATCTATGTTCGGAATTAAAATCAGTGGTAGCATCTTGAATGGATTTTGAACTATTCTAGCCATCTGTCACAAAACAGTTTTGCAACAAGATAACGAAATATACGATCAATAAGTCAATTCCTTGAACCACGTATCAAGGAACGATATCTGCACTATTACAAACACTTTTGCTCTACTAGCAGACTACAAAAAGGCTTAGACGCCTCGTATTTTACGTTAAACACTAAGTTTGAGAATTCTCTTTATTTCACGATATACTGCATTTATATACTATTCCTCAATAGTTCATAAGTCATAGTTAATACAATTAACATTAGAATCATTTACTGAATTAGATATTAATTTTAGCTACCGCTCCCTTAATGCAGACAACAGTATTTACCAACATAGACATGTAATGACTATTACAGAATAGTCAGATTACGATATGTCCTATCACGGAACATTTCCATGATAATTTACAATCTACCATAAGTAAATTACGATCATAATGATTTGAACTGTAAGTAGATGATTTGCATTCCCTATTATAACTATTAATTTCAGTATGTGTATATGTGTCACTGTCATAAAAAGTCAATGCTATATTAAAACACAGTATATCCAAAATTAGAAGTTAACTAAATAAAGATAGGCTAACAAGAATTATCCTAACATAGATATTTCTACTCTAATACAGTATATAACGTTGTAACACCATCAGTCGTCAGTTGCTACTACCTTACTAATGCATAATTAGCTGAGATGGCTGCCATAAATTTACAGATGTCACTACTTAATGCAATCTTTTCTACCCATGTAACATTTTACGGTAGATAGTTCGAACTGCGATTACTGTTCCCTCAACAAATTAAAGATGTACCCTTTTCTTCTTCTTCTTGATCGTTTTTTATTAAAGGCTTAAGGCAAAGCTTAAACATGCTACAGTTTTAAAAATGGCTAGTCAAGCTTCGATTCGGTCGGACTTTATTTGCAAACCTATCATCAAACCTGAT